TTTTTTATTTTTTTATTTTTATTTTTTAGCGAAAGTACTTGGGTTTCGTAAAGCTAAGTTTGGAGTTTCGACTTTTGTCAGAAGGATTTGAGGTTTTGACTTTTGTCAGAAGAATTTGAGGTTTCGACTTTTGGCAGAGGTTTTGTCATTTGGGCTCAGGTTTCGACTTTCGTCAGCAAGCAAAAAGGTTTCGTCTAACAACTATACTCCCATACGTGTAATATGTTTATTGCGAAAATCTAGGTTGTATTCACTGCCCTTCTTGCTTTTTCGATTAAACTTTACCGGTTGACAAAGACAGTCTTCTTCATAAACTTTTGAGCATACAAAACATGCTAAACAGATAGGGCAAGCATTAGAGCGAAAACTAAGTAAAGGTAAATGAGGTAATTGTGTTTGTGTCACTAAATTGCTATTGTCATACCCAATAAATATACCGAAAATTGTATTACGGCCGAAAAGCATAATTACCGACAAACTGCTCAGTAAATGTAATTACCGAAAACTCACTGACGATAATCACAAAATTCATCACGTGTCCCACTAATTTTCAAAACAGCTGTAATTATATATATCTGTATAAAAATAACCGACAAATTTTGGTTGGTGATTTCCAAGATATCCTTGCTCAAAATTTATAAAATTTTTGCCGTAGCTGCTATTTTGATAGATATAATGTCCTCAAAACTTTGAGCGAAGATAACCCAACCAATTCAATGAATTTTTTTTTATTTTAATTTTACAGAACTGTAAAATTAAAATAAAAAATTATTGAATTTAATTGGGCGGTCAACGAGTTATTTTTGTTAAAATTCTTGAAAAAACTTACGGGAGTATATGCATCAAGAATGTCACTTCAATTTAGTTGTGTTGATAGTGATGTGCCATTTATATGATATTCGGATTTTTTTAGCGTACAGTACGTATAGTGCGTATAGCATATGCAATACAAAGGCGGTTTCATAAGGAAACTTTTGAGATATGAATTGGGGTTATGATTTGTTCTATAATATTCTAAAATTTTTTTTGCGTACTGTACTATACGCGGCACATCATCATGCATTAATCTATCAAAAAAATAACTGAAATCCATCAAAAACGATACTTTTGCGGGTCTGCGTCGTGCTCTTGTGACGAATGGATTCCTCGTGACTTCGTCCGCAACATCTCGAAAAATTAAATATTTATAACGTTATAAAATTAAAAATAAAGCGAATATTATCATTAAACGTTCTATTCATTACATAAGCGCCTATTTGTGTATTGATCCGCTTGTGAACAAAGTCATAAGGCGGTACATTATTGTGAGTCACTGGACTTTTCACGTGACAATGGTACTGGACTTGCCCATAACGGAAATGTATATTCGAGTAACCTGATAATCTGATTGTTCTTTTGTTCTTGAATTTTTCTGCTCGACTTTGTGCCTAGCGATCCCATCCCACCTCACCCAAAGGAAAAAAAAAGAAAGAAAAGAAAACCTAAGATACTCGGAAAGTCTGCTCACGTGACTCACTGCGGCTTGTTCGGCGACCTTATTCATACTGTACAAGTTTTAGGCACAGATGTATAGTTGGCCACGGAAGTTGTCCATTCAAATGGAAGCAACAGCTTCCATGGCACACAATAATAATAAGTATTTTTCGATTTCATTTATCGTTATAGAGCCTTTTTAGATGTAATCTACGTGAATATACACGGTTAGCTACATTAAATTAGCTATTAAATTAATTTTATTAATAGCGTTACCTATATCATAATTAGTTCACAAGAATTACTATAAGTTAAAAGAGGATGATTTCGTTGATCATTAGCAGCTCACCAACTAAAATTTCCAGAATGAATTTACGCCACATCTCTAAGCCGTTTTTTTAAAGTCAATGTATTATTGCTTTGATTAGTAGAAATTTATAGTAAGATTTTATGTGGAATATTTTTTAGGGCATAAAAGGTAATTTCTTAGCTGAAATTTTGAAAAAAAATGCACATTGTTAAATTTTACATTGCATACAATTTGATTGACTGCATAATATAATATGTTCCATCATGTGTTGAAAACTTTTGTGGTTGATTTAAATAGGTTCTTGAAGAGTATTATAAGATATCAAATTGAAGAAACACATTCGAAGTGATAGAATACAATCCTTTTATAATAGGCATTTTATTATTATTTAATTGTAAATTTTTATACTAGGCATTTTATTCTTATTATTTAATTGTTCGCGTAAAGAATAAATGTAAGAATAATATTTACGACTTGAATAAAGAATCGAGTCATTAAATTAAAATGGTTGCTAAATGCTAATAATTAATGGCTTGAAAAATTTTTATATTCTCTAAACGATTCCTTCGAATAAATTCACTTGACAACAAATAAGCCATATATAGTATTCGAATAAATCAGAAATTTAATAAATTAATCAATTTAATAGAATTAAATTTGAATATGCAAGGCCAATATCCCAACATGAAGTAATGAAAGTATCGAAAATTGAAAATATAGTATTAATTATGGTAAAAAAAAACTTCTGGTCTAGATAAAATTAGTCAATAGTACCAGAGTTTATCATAAATATTAAATGCATTTTATTAGGACATGGCATATTAGCACAATACAAAACCTTAGATTATCTTATGAGTTATGATAGCAAAATATTTACTTATATAATCACTTAATGGACTACCATATCCGACCAGTTTCTAACCAGCCAAAAATTTAAATCAACAATTATCCTCGAGTCATTCTTTTGGTGCCCAAGGTAATATAAATAACATGATATGCATTATATTGATCGAACTCCTCATTTGCAATAGTGTCAACGTCATTATCCCATTCTTTCTTACTCATACCAGTGATTGGGGATAATACAGGTCTTAAAGAAGTGAGTGATTCTTTGAAATTTGAAGCCCATAATTCACCAATTTTTCCGCCTGATTTTCTTAAAAAAAAAAAAAAAAAGGAAAAGATTAAAAATGAGAAATAATGAGAAATAATAAAATATTAACCATGGTATAAATCATGATGGATTACATACTTTCCAAGCTTTATATCTTTACATATACATGATATATTTTCAAAACCTACACTTCTAAATGTTGGCTCAATTTTTAGTGCAAATCGGAGATCAATTCCTCTTAATTCTAGCAAGGGATCATCTATATATATAAATAGCCAACCATTAGCGAAAAAATAATAATGAAATGTAATCTCATAAAGGATTAATATGCTTACAAAGTTTCTTATATAATCGATTTCCAACGGGACCCAGTGATTGAGCTTACAAAAAGAAAAAAATAAAGT